GTACAAAGCAGTGCTTCTTCTGCCTGAAAAATTCTTTGCTGTGTAAATCATGCCGCCCAAAAGCGTCACCTTCTTGTCATGCATTTGTACCATGTGGTCTCATTTAATTTGGGAGTCAATTAGTTGCTATTTGGTAAATCCATGTCTTTTCAGTACAGCTAATACATGACATCAGGAGATCAGGCTGAATTGGTGATGATCAGTTGCTCTGTGTGCCACTTGCATCTTTCTTATTCTTGCTGACTGACCCCATTTGGGTATGAATATCCTGCTTCCTTGCTTATTTTCCCAATGCTGGCATTTTGTTTTACCTAAGTTACATTTCGTTTTCTGTAAGTAAACCCTTTTAATTTATTTTATTTCTGAGTAATATGGAACATTTGTCTAGGATACCTACCACAGCGCATTCCCAGCCATGGCGGTCTTATACTCAATGTAAAGGTTAAAGGTTAATAAATTGGTATTTTTCTGCACACTGAGCAATTTACTTGTGAACATCTCTCTATATGCAGATGCCGGCTAAACGAAAGTCTGTTCGTTGTGATGTCATCCTGGCTTCTCCTTAGGGATCTCCGTGTTAGTGGTTGAACACCTGGCGGTCATGTTCCCATGACTCACCTCTGCTGTGTTCACACCTGCAGTGGGCTACTGTGTCATCCCTGGCAGAGGATGCCAGTTCTGGGCGGGTCCATGTGTCCTTGCAAGGGGTGTCAAGGAAAATGAGGAGCCAGGCCCTCGAGCTGTGAGGGACTGGCCTGGCAGTGCAGTCCAGGATGGTGATGGCCTCTCTGCATAGCGCAAACATAGTGCTAGCCAAAACACTGGTATTGTCATTGGCTTGTAATTCTGCATTCTGGGCTGATCAACTACATGATTCACAATGATATGGCTGGCAGATTAGTGATATGCTGACTGAACTGAGTTAGGCGTAGCTGACAACATAGGGGGAGACGCACTGACTGATGTAATGAGCAGCAGAAAAGCCCAAGGCCGCCAGTTAGAGCAGTTCTGCCAGACCCTTACTTTCAGGTGTCCATAATGGTCATGCCTGCTGTACAGCAGGGCACAGAGGTGGAGAGGTGGCGCATTGCTGGCTGACCAAACCCCGTGCCAATGGACACTGACCACTTCAATGTATTCATTCTTCGCATAGTGCAATTTCTCCCTCCATCAGCCGTCAGAGGGATGCATCCTTCTGTTAAAGCTATCCTACAAGCACAGGGTGCATTGTGGGACTACAACCTAGGATGGTCAGTGCACACAGACAGTTTAGAGACTCCAGTGCACCTGGTCTTTGGAAGGTGGGAAGAAACCAGAGCACCCAGTGAACAGCCAAGTGAACATGTGGAGTGCGCTCAAGCTCCACACAGAAGATTCCCCAGGCCGGACTCGAACGCTGGTCCCAAGAGCTCATCGGAAGCTGCACCAGCCACAGTGCCGCTGTACATCAGCCCAACACAGCTGATGAAAGGAAACTTTCACATTGCTACATCCTCTTCACAGATAGCTGCCATTAGTATAATTTACATGAAAGCAATTTGAACCGGTCTGTTCTCACATCTAAGCTTTCAGGCAGGTATGAGGCCCCAGGCAGAGAGGAAGCCACAAAGGGAGATAATCTCATGGGGATCTCGCCCTTAACACGCAGCCACAAATCTTATCCCCGTGGGGAATGTTATCACACCAGGTCATCAAGGACTGTTTACATTGTATACCACACCAAGCTGTAGTGTCTCTCTGTTCAGCCACAGTGTACCTTGGGGTCCCTTCAGTAAGTAAGCGCTACCACTGAACTGCACATGGTGATCATAAAACATAATTTAAAACTGCAACAAATTTAGTTATAATCAAAATGTTCATTTTTTTATCAGATGTACTGTAATGTAAAATAATATTTTATTGAACACAGATGTTGTAGGTCAATTCACTAAGCTTATTAACAGCTGTTATCATTAGTGAACAGTTACAGGATGTGACTCATGCTGTACACCAGGTTACGGGGGTCTCTTGTGGGATCGTCTCGCCCCGTTCTCCTCCTGGAGCCTGTTCACTGGCCTATGAGCCCTTGATGCTGCGTATCATCCCAGCTCATCCCCCCCAGATTGTTCAGTGGGGCTCAAATCTTGAGTGCAAGGATCCACAGCATAACTTTCACATTCTCATCTGGCAAGAAAGCCATTG